ATTATAAGGTATAATAAAAGTCTCAGCCATGACTAATCATATATTTTAAAACTAACAGTAGAATTAAATAGGATGAAGCATTGCAACTCCTTACCAGAAGACACATGGTAACAGGTGCTAAGATGTAACAACAACAACAAAAAATTATGGAAAAAAGACTGTGAGAAATTTAGGTCTCAAAGGTAGGATGGTGTGAAGGATTGAGATAAGAGACAAGAAAAAGATTAAACCAGGGGGCTAAATCTCTCTTGGAACAGAAGCAAAACTGCACCAGAGCAGAGCCTGTTTATTCCAAATTAAATTAGATAAGCAGTGAGTGAGTTTAGCTATAAGGAACATTGTACAATATACATGACATCCTTTTTACTACAGAAGTATACATATTCCTGGTACAAGATTGATGCTATTATTAAGTTAGTATGTAGAAAATATCTTGGCTTGTGGAATGTCACCCAACATCTTGAGACACAGTCCATGCCTGGAACTCCATCAGGTTGACCATGCAGTCTCTGTGGCTTTCTGTCCAGGAATGGGGTTGCTTTCAACTCCCTCCTGAATCCTTCCCTTCTAGCTTATCTCTCAGGCCTGGGCTGGTTTCTGTCTTCAACAAGACTTTATTTGTCTTACTGACTGGTGAAGATCACCATTATTCTATTGGGTCACTGGGAAAGTCATGATACATTTTTGCATTGAAAAATACATCATCGCTTTCCCGACAACCTAGTATTTCAGCAGTGGGAAGCCCTAGCTCAGACCAGGGAAAACATACAAGGGCTCAGTCTGAGAAATAGGATTGCCTCTCCCAAATATCAGTTTCCATGGGAACTTGTGACAAATGTTACACCACATGAGTATGTGTATTTCTAGTACTATGTAATAATGACTCATTTATTTTAAAGTATACATTTTTAAAGATGGAAAATAATGGATCTTATACAAATATAAAATGAACATGCATCAAAGATTTTAGTTAATTTATTAATTTGTGAAGTAATTAATACGATGTTACAACTATATCGAAGGAGAAATAGAGCAACACTCTCCTATTGACAGTGCTGAAATGAACTTAGAAATAGATTCAAGCTATCTTCAGAGAAATAACCAATTGTGTTTTTCAGGACAAAATTTACTTTCATTTGTAGGGATGAGAATCAGTTGTATTACTGTAGGTTTTCTACAGTTTATGGAATTGTAAAATAGCCCAAAGACAATGAAAACTTCAGGTTCTGTGGAATCAGATAACCCTGAACAGTATTAGATGCAACCCTGTAATCTTACTTGGGTTACTTCAAAGTCTTTCAAAACTTTCCTCACTCATGTGATCACAGTAATCTCCAAGAAAGATAATCCTTGATCATAATCAACAAACATTTTCGAGAATGGCCAAGTACTTTATTTCTCACTCTGTTTATAGGGTCCTTGCTACCAAGCCATCAAGAATCCCTACACTCTCTAAACAGAGAGATCCCTTAGGCTGGCCTGACCTGCACTCCTTAGTCCACCAGATACATACCTTGAATCTGGCCCTAGGATACTGCTGCCCTCTGTGACCCAACCGCTTATTAAGGAGGCATCAACCACTAAATTTCACAGAGACCAAACCACAGGATGCCTGCAAAGGACCAAACTTATTCTCCACATGGAGTTTTTACTTTACTCAAGCACATGGACAAAGGCGCAGTTCAAGTTCCAGAGTTCTGTGCCATGATGCTTTGAAGAGGCCCTTGTATAGAAGCAGAAATGTCTGATGGGCAGGTGTTATGAAGCACCTCCTTAGCCACCAAATCATGTCAGTCCAGGCCCTATAGGATCTATAGTACCCAAAGAATGGCATCCAAAATAGCCTAAAGAGGATTTCCCAATTAGCTGAATAGATAGTCTTCCTGGATGATGTTATTCAAAGATGAATACTTGTATAGCACTGAGTATAGGCCAAATATATTTTCTACTGTGGTATATGTACTTCTAGGCTGTTCTTGCTGAATGTAATTAGCTATTATGTTCAGTTGCTTCTTAAGGGCACTTGATCTTTCAAAATTAAAACCAGATCATTGGCCCAGATGACAGTGCTGATCTTTTCTATTTGCTGTGGCAGGAAGGTATGTATCCAGCCAACTGGTAGCAGCACATGTATATATATGTGTACGTGTTTGTATGCATTAATTTCAGAATAGGGAAAAATTAATTCTTCCTGGGTACTATGGTCTTACGTGTTGAGAGATGGAGGAGAAGTGACATTTGAACTGGGCTATTAAGAGTGAAGATAGGACCAGCCATGTGGCATGGGCATTAGGGTGGCAGGATTCCACTTGGCTGATGGTATGGTCTGAATCCAGGACCTAGTGGGTTGAAAAATACACCAGGTGCATGTGCATGCATTCCCAAAATCCCAAGAGGAGAATGGAGGAGAAAGGATTGGGATGTGGCCAACCTTGGGAGGTACTTTCTCTCTTTCTGTCTCTCTCTAGTGAGCACATACACTCCATAGGAAATTAAAAAAAAAAAATAAAAGAATGAAGAAGATTTTTCCCAGACAGACACTACCATACAACTTCCAGCTGTGTTCCCACTCACTTTAGATAACTAGCTCTTTCTAAATATGCCTTGAGGCAGGGTATTAGTTTGGGTGGTACCCAGTTCAAATACAGATTCTTCAGATTCACAGTCTGGCTTCCCTGAGTCTCCACAGACTGTAAGCTGAGTAACTTGCTGTCCTAATCAATGAAAAGCACCCACTGAGGTTGGAGAAGGAAGACTCTGTTTTGTAAAATTTCTCCATAGATGCTCCAGTCATTAGGAACACATGCCCCAGAACCTGACAGCCCAGGGGGATCCCATCTTCACATATTATTAGCTGTGTAACCTCAGGCCAGTAACTTACATTTACTAACCATCCATTTCTTGAGCTCTAAAATGAAAATTGCAAAGTGCCTACTATGGTATAAGCATGTGGTTTGAGAAATGTTATCATAAGAAAGGGAACCTATTGTATAAAAGAAAGAAAAGATAAAAGGTAAATAGAAATGACATTAGTTACATTAATAATTACAAAGTATACAAGTTGACATAAGCTTGAGAAGAGTCACAGCAAAACCATTGGGCATTTCTGCCTATGTATGTAAACAGTGTCAAGAACATGTGTGGAATTTCATCACATGGAGTCACATTTCAGTGATGTGTACATAGAGAAAGCACCCCTTCTCACTGTCTTGAAAACAGTGTCACTATAAGACAAACCACAGACCAAACAAAGTTGAGCACCGTGAACAAAGCTATCTGTGGTCTGGCTAGCTCTGCCTTAGGGGATACTAAGGAAAGGAGTTTGGAACAAAAGATGAAATAATAAAGGTAAGTCTCTGGCTTAGGTATTAAAGGGTTACATTGAGCTGGTGTGCTGGAGAGCTCCTTAGAGGAGGTAAAGGGTAACTATGAATGATCAATCTAGCCCTGCGAGCATTTGAGGTGAGGACACAGACTCTGATATGGAAAACCTGGCCCATGTGGGGAGTCAACATGAAACGAAGGTGGTTGACACATGTCTAGCAAAGAGCAGACTAGCCTGGGGTGAGCTGAGGCTACACAGGGACTAAGGAGTCTGGGTTTAATCCTACATGCAAGAGGAACCCTGTAGGGTTTACATGGGGAGTGATCTGGTCTCACTGCATTGTAAGAAGATCAGTATCCCTGTTTGTATAGACAATGGTTGAAAGGATAAAAGTGGAAGTGGAAGGCCAGACAGAAGACTGTTCCAATTGTCCCAGTTACAGATAATGGCAGTCTGGAGAAAGAGAGAGAAGGGAGTAAATTCTAGTTGTACTCCAGATCACAAATGGATAGGAGTGCTGATGAGTGAATGTGGGCACTGGGTAGGGGAAGAGAGGAAAGGAATCGACGACTATTCCTAGGCTACTGGCTTGATCAATACAGAAATAGAAGGTGTTGGTAACAGACTGTTACCAGACTAGAATGGCTTTGATAGTGAGGTGAGAACAGGGTTAGAGTTAAACAAAATTAAAATATGAAGTTTAGAGGATTTAAGCTTAAGATGTCTGATAGAAAACCAGGTAGAAATATCAAGTCATTGGGTTCCACACAAAATCCTAGAGGTGTGAGTTAATGCTTTAAATGTAAGTGTGTGAGACCTAGCCATAGTAACATGCAGTGGACACTGCTGCTCAGCAGGCTGAGGCCTAATAGGAGGTTTGGCTTCAATTTCCAGACCACCCTAAAAGCCAGCTGTGGTGGTGCACAACTGTAGTCCTAGCTCCTTAGGGGGCTGAGATGGAAGGATTATGACATAGTGAGACCCTGTCTTAAAACAAACCAACAAAAAGATATAAACATGTGAATCATCAAGGAAGAGATGCATGAGATTTCTTAGGACGAGATTACAGGAGAATAGAGAAGATAAGCAGGTGAACATTACTGAACAGCCAGGTGATAAAAAGGAGAGAATGGCTAGGGAGGGTGGAGGAAGCCAAGGCTATTGACCAATCCAAGAAGGGATAACAGTTAATGAAGAAGGGTTGGAAGGACAGTGTTGACAGCTGCTGAGAGAGCAAGGAAGACAAGGAAAGAAAAGGCCCACCAAATGCTTAGCACCATGTCTATTAGGGAAAACATTACAAAGATATGAATTAATGTTGCTAACTCTCAAATCAGTTCCAGGTAGGAGGTATTAGTAATCCATTTCAAAGTTCACCCCAGGGATAATGCTGTCCCAGGGTACTTTGTCCAGGGCATTCCTATGTGCATGGCTATGCTGCTGGGCCCTGACCCTAGAGCTCTCACCAACTATGCCTCTCTTCCCATTCCAGGGCCTACCTCTCCTGTTCTCTTTCCTCGCATGTGAGCTTTGTCTTTAGTTTGAAACTCTGTAAAACATCATAACATTGTACTAGTTGTTTTGGGTCTGAACCAGAAATGAAGGGGAAGGACATTAGGAGCACACAAAGAAATCTGGTTACTGTCCATGATGACAGTTTTGTTTTGCTACTTACTGTTTTCAGAGAGTTCCACAATGTAATAAAGCACAGGGCTGTTTCCATCAAAGGGCCGAACCCAAGAGAGTATCACAGTGCGGCTGTGGGAAGAATTCAGGCTGGCCAGGAGGTTCTGGGGTGAGTGAGGCAGTTCACTTGAATACAAACGAATGAAAAAGAAGAAAATGCACATCAGAATCGATGGCTGATCAACGCGCTTACTTTGGATAGTCTTGATGTGTAAGATTTTGAAAATGAAGAACATAAAATATATCCCAAACACAAATACTAACCACCCCTCCCCCCCGAAAGAACAAAAACCCAACTTTAATATTCACAGTGTTATGTTATTTTCTGAATATAATTTAGTTTAATTACTATGGTAGACACTAAAACAACTAATAACATTGACTTGAACTGAGATGGGGCATGCAAATTTTTATATAGTATATTATGTAATTGAGAAAACTTGGCCAACAATTTGTACAACTAGAAGCTGGTAATGGAAATGCAGTAAACCATGTAAGTAGGAAAATGATTGGTAAATATGATTTAGTATAAAAGTTTCCATCACTTGCCATTCAGAGTTACTAGCAAAAATGACCACATGTATTCTTAGTCAATATAGTCACCTCATTTATTGACAGCATGAGGTTATATTGCCATTCTGTGTTTTGCTGGATAACGGGGATTTGAAAGAAGCTCTTAAAAGGAAATGTGGTGAAAATACTAACTAAAATCCCACGGAAATGGTAAGTAACACATCAGCAAGGCTATAAAATGGAAATGCAATTAAAGCAAGTAAATTCTAAAAAGAACTTACTAATGAAACAGGTTTTTACTGGGATTTACTGGTGACAAAGTGACAAAGCCACAGTTTCTACCAATCATGGGCCTACAACCCTAAAATCATGAGCTGCCCAAGTCTAGTATTTAACCTTTACATCTCATGACTCTGGGAGCAGAGCCCTGTTTTGCAGCTGTTCTGGATGGCTGCCCCTTCTGTAAATGTTCCCTGGCAGTGCTAGGGACAGGGGATGTGAGTGTGACCCGTTTCACCTGCTAACTAGTTTTTTGGTCTCTCTTAGACATCAATTACTGCAGAACCACATAGGTCAGAACAAAGAGTCATAATTATACTTGATATTTTTAATTTTAAAAATGTACTCATTACATTTTGAAATTTATTAAGCTGTTTTGTGCTTTCAGCTACCTAAGAAACATAGCTCTCTCTAACCCATGCACACCATTTATAAACAAACTAATATTTCAATGTAGACCGCTAATGCATTGTACAATACATTAGTATAATAAAGAATAAACTTTGAGCCTGAAGTGTTGTTTTTATGTTTAATTGTGAATTAAGATTTAAATCAGAAAAGAAGCAGTTATTTCTATTTGAGTTCTCTGATAACTAAATTTCCATTAGATTTCCAATAAAGACCAATATGAAGGAAAAAACAGTAAGAAAATATCTATTCTGTATCTATTCTAAAATATCTATATCTAGTTCTCATAAGCTCCATTTCCTATTCCCCCACCTCCAGTCCGGACTGGTTTGGTTTGAAATCAAACCAACATGATTGAAATAGTCTCACCTGAAATGAAGAATACACTGAGATAAATATATGCAAACAAGACTGTTACATGGTAAAGAATTTATCTGTTCTAGGATGGAGCTTCTAAAACTTTTGGAATTTCCTGAGTGATAGAACTCTCTCTGTTACTCACTCTGGAGCTTTGGAACACTCCTGAGTTTCCGCTTCTGAATTTATGCCTAGTGGGTCCATAGGTAGTTATAAGATGGGGTCTGGCCATGCTAGAGAAACCAACCATGTGGTTTTAGGGTTTGGACTTTGATTTAGTGATATCAGCCTAAACTTCTGACTTATAGGGAGCTAAGAGGGCTAGAAACTAGTTCAATCATGTGTCAATGATTTGATCAATCTCACCTACATAATGAAACTCCAACAAAAATTCTGGACTCTGAAGCTTAGTTGCACTCCCCTGGTTGGTAATCATATATCTTGTGCTGGAGGGTGATGCAGCCCAAAGACATGGAAGCTTTGTGTGTGGGACTGTCCTAGATCCTACCCTATCCATTTTTTCATTTGTCTGGTCCTGATTTTTATCCTTTATAATAAAACTGTTACAATAAATACAGCTTCCTCCTGAGTTCTGTAGAAGGAATCTGAACTGAGGGCTTAGTGAGAAATCTCAAATTTTAGTCAGATGTTCTGAAGCTTGAGTGTCCTGGAGGCCAAGTGTCTTTGGAGTTTGTGGCTGGTATCTGAAGTGAAGGTAGCCTTGCTATGAACTGTGCCTGTAACTTCTAAGACCTATGCTAACTCTGGGCAACTAATGTCAGAATTGTACTGTAAGCACTTTATCTAAAAAGGAATATTTTTATGACATGATGAACATGGACTTAGAAGCTAATAATGCTAGTCAGTGTTTCAGGTCATTTTCTATGTGTGGACACTGCTGGTGCTCAAATAGGCTCCCTGCCGGCCACCACAGTCTCTCTTTCAAGTCAGGTCAAAGGGCTCAGAAGTATTAATAGATGCAACACATACACTAATTCTTAAAAGACATAATGAGACCCTAGAAAATCACAAGTGGCATTTTACAAGATAGGAAATAATTCCAATTACACATTTCAGAGAGATTATCATTGAAGGCTGACTGTGAGTCATGAATCATTTTTCCCACCTAAACTAGTGCTTATACTTGTTCATTCTTCTCAGTCAATGGTTGCAACCAAGAATATCATTAGTTGCTAAATTATACCTACTGTACCTTAGAAATGCCCATAAACCCAAGCCTTTGCACTGGCACCATAGCTTAAGGGAGCTAGATAAATAAGGCAGCTTGAAAAATAAGCTGGGCACATGGGTGTATGTGCCCAGAATCCCAACAGCATGGAGAAATGGAGAAGGGATGATAGCATGATCATGTCCCAGTAAGGGATGCTTTCTCCTCTCTCTTTATCTATCTCCCTCTGGTTAGAGGATGTATCCTCTTACAATTTAGAATAAAATAAAATAAAATAAAGTAATTCTTCTGTTTCATGGCTATAAACCAACATTCAGTCCAGCCATAACCAACTCTCCTAGGAGCCATGATGTGCAATCCCTCTTGTCTTGCTTGCTGCCGCTTTGCACTTTGGCTGGCACATGGATCCTCTATACTGAGCCAGACATGTAGCTCCCCTCCTGTGCCTACTATAACTCCCTTCCTCATCGCTTCCCCCCTCCCCCACCCCCATCCCACACTAGGTGCTCTTCTGGAAGCACCAAACATAATAAATGACCCACAGAGCTCTTATTCAAGTGATTTTATGACCTTTGTACATGCACAGGCAATGCCCTGTTGTCTAGGGCCACACCCAATCATAAATTCCAGCCCAGACTCAAAGGCTCAGTTCCTACTCTGTAAAGATTTGGGGAATTTCCCTCTTACCTCTGATTAATTCTTGAGCAGAACTAATCACTTCTACCTTCCACTATAATTTATAGATTTTTCAGATCAACAAATATTTCAAAGCCCTACAATAGCACATATCCATTATACCCTGTTGGTTTATGGACCTGCCTCTCCTACTCTAGTGTGGATACTGTTTTCCTTGATCTCTGCATTACTAGTGCCTGGTCTGGCAGTACAAGTGACATGTGTGGATAATTCAAACATAAAAGGAGTGGAAGGATGAACAAATGAACATTTACTAAGCCTGGTCCTGTATGATACATGTGGGAACACAGAGGGAAAAGCATCCACAGGCTTGTCCTCGCAGAGCTGTTCATGATGCCTAGAGAAATAATGAACCCTCATTTACCATTGCTCAACACCTCATTGGCTCAGTCATATCTAATGTGACAGCCCAGTGTGAAAAGTGATTTTTACACATATCATAGGATTCCAAGTTAGAGAAAACTTAGATTTTTCCCTCCAGCGCTGTCCTATATGAAAATCCCCTTTATGATAATAATAACTACTGTATTCAGTATCATCTGTTTAGCAATGAAAGAACTTTTAAATATATACTGGAAGCATGAAGTATTTCTTTAAATAAGTTTGGGTTATCTGGAAAATTAAGCTTTGCGAAATCCTTGACTAACCCATCAATAACGGATAAATGAGGCTTTAATATATTCTGAATCTATTTCAGAAAAATCTTATCTAATAGGAATAGATTGCATCTAGGCATTTCTCTGCCAACTTTGACAGGAGATAAATGATCAGCAGAGTGACTCACTGATAGTGATATGCAGACAGGGTGGCAAATGAAAGAATCCTGGAGAACAATGGAAAAGAAGCCAGTGCTGAGTCATTTTGTAATTTAAAGGGAATGTGGAAAAAATCACCATCAGGCAAATTACACTACAATATTGTAATATCAGAAATTAACAACAACAACAAAAACCCAGGCTATATGGGAAGGAGATTAGGCGAGATGTGTATGAGAAAAACAGTTTCGAAAAAGATTCAAGAAAAAGCAATTGGTAAAATTGTGGCTATGGGGGGAATTGCTCTGGCAGAAGAGAATCAGATAAGTATTTTTCTATATAAAAAGCATTGCCCCTTTAATGCACAAATGATGACTTGGTCAAACCCATCTTCTTTGACTTCACTCTGAGGATGAAGGTGATGGGGCCCTGATAACTCTGCAGAAACAGTATTAAATTGTTCACTCCTTATTTTGGCTTTGTCAGAAGTCGTTTCATTGAAAGAAACCTCTCCCACTGCCTCAAGGTTTGAGTCTTCAAGTCTGCTCTGTAAATTAGGTTTTCTCTGTACTGGAGGCTCATAAGAATTAGTTTCTGGTTTCAGAAGGAAAGATGCAATGTTAATTGGGTCTTTAAACGATTTAACAATTAATCAATCCATGAAGCCTTAGGAGCCTGGCCCCTCTGGTGTGCTCAATATAACAAGATGCCTTGGGGGATATGGAGTCATCCCAGAAACTAGCTCCTGCCTTTATCACTCTAGCAACCTAGTAAGAAAAACATGACTAAAATGAGGGGTGACAACATTTAACAATGACCTGTGTTATTAATTTACAAGAGGTATCATGGAACCATCTGAAATTTTAGAAGCTTCTTTTCTCAGGGAGAAGACTAAGGCAGAGCCCTCATAAATGAGTCCTCAGTAGTGCAAAGTACACCATCCTATTTTAACTTAGTAAGTGTTGTGAGATATTCAGAGATTTAGTGGGTACTTACTGCATACCTGGCACTGTTCTGGGGGTTGAGAAATAAGCTAATGTATCAGATAGTCATAAGAATATGGCTAAAAGGGACCAGCAGTTAGCGTAATGGCTATGTCGCTGGACTCCCATGTAGTCAACTGTAGTTCGAGTCCTGGACCTGGTGGCTTAAAACTCACATCGAGCGCGTGTGTATACATGCCCAAGATCCCAAGAGGAGAATGGAGGAGAAGGGACTGCAGCATGGCCATCCCCGTTGGGGGAGTGATTTCTTGTTTTCTGTCTCTCTCTCTCTTTCTGGTGAGTGCATGCGCCCTATAACAAAAACCTCTCCAAAAAAAGAGAAAAAAATGATTAAAAAAAATAAAGTAGGGTACAGTACATAGAAAATTCTAGGCCCTAGGAGTCTAGGAGTGCTGTTGATAAGAAGAGGAATAGCATTCTTGTATAAGATGGTAAGGAAACACCAATAAGAGTTATTATTTATTTAGTGTCCAAACTCAGCTAGTTTCCCTGCCAGGATTTTGCAACCTTCACTCAACCCTCACAAGAATCCTTTAAGGTAAATTACACTATGAACAGTTTATAAATTAAGAAAAGTGCAGCTGAGAAGTGAGGTAACTTGGGCCAGCATGGTAGCACAAGCAGGAAAGTATGATGCTCTGTAAGAGTGGCCCATGTGGGAAGGTTCACATTCAGAAACCTTCCCGTGTATGCCAGACATGCATGTGCCTATGATCTGGGGTTTGCTGAGGCTGGGGCTGAATTTCTGCATGAAGACCTTGTTGGGGGTGCTCTCTCTCTCTCTTTCTCATTCATAGTGTAAATAAATAAATTTAAAAAAAATATGAACAAAAAATAAGTGAGATAAACCCCCCCCAATGTTACACAATTAGTAAGAGATGGGCAGGGAATGCCAACCAGGTGGTCTCCATGGGTGGCACCTCTATTAGCTAGAAGCCTCTCCAACCAGGCTCAAATAGGGATGAAGTTTAGTGCTAAAGTACTAAATATGAAGCAAACATGAAAATAAGCCAATGGAGAGTCTGTTTTTGGAAAGCTCACTTCTAATGCTCCTAATTTCTATATTTAACAAAGTAGCTTTTAACTGAAGTGGAGAGGCCAGAGGGAAGCAGGCTTTCAGGCTTTTGAAGGACACTGTTTAGCCATAAGTACCTCTCAGTCTGTTATGCAATATGAGATTCTTTTTTCTTGCTTTTTTTCTTTTTTGTCATCTGAGTAAATCATGGAAATGTTACTGAGTTTGATGTGAAAGTTCTCTGAGAAGCACAAAATGCCCTGCAATTGTGGTTATTATTATCATTACTATTGTCATTACTGATGCTGTACAGTCAAGAACTCTTTGTATCTAAAGATACACCAGGATGGAACCTATAACTTTCCCAATTCATTCAGATTTGGAAGAGTAGAGCGTTTATTACATTAACAATTCACATGGAACAACTGTCTTCCAAATAATTTCTGTAACCAGTTATTCCCTAAACTGGTCTGAATCATAAATCTGCAAATATTTCTATATTTAGAGATGAGGTGTTTTACCATTACAGAAAGCCTATTATTTTATACATACAGCAACATTTGCTGAAAAATGTATTTTACTTAGAGGAAATCAAATAAGCAAATAGTAGAGAAGATATGTAAATCAGTAGAACATAAAACTTGTGCAGAATAGAAAGAATGTGCTGTATTGGAAGTATGCAATTTGGCTTCTGCTGACAGAGTCTTTATGAACTACTTGCACTTATTTATCTGATACCAATGATGGGTGACCTAAGAGTTCTCAAAGGGAGTTTTGAAAATGTGAATAGCACAGCGGATTATATGAATTCACTAGTCATGTCCTAAGTAACATTAAAAAAAAAAAAAGAAAAAAAAAAGCAATGTTCAACCCAGGAAGGAAGGATAACAGACACAGGAGCAGAGCTGGACAAAGGCCTGGGCACTGAGAGAGCAACCTGAGTGTGTTTATTCACTAGGGGCCAGTGAGGAGTAGAGATTCCAGGGGCATGTGAGCATCAAAGGTAAGAAGGGGAATCAGAAGAAATTAACTTAGTCATTTATGCATTCAGCCAACCAACATATATTTATTGAGGACCTGTTGTGTACCAAACACTATGTCAGGCACTGATATCCAGGTGCTTCTAAGCCTGGAGGGTAAGGAATCAAGAAAACAGGCTCCTCTACCCTAATGTGATCAGCACTAGGAGGGATTATTAACCAGGTGCTGGGAAGAATCATAGAAGGCGCCTTGATGTCCAAATGGCAGGAAATGATCCTGCACCTAGGTCCTAAAGAATGCCCATGTAGAAGCCCTTCAGGAGAAGCCAGGCCATGGAGGTGGCAGATGGATGAGGCACACCTGGACGGAGAATTGAGGACATAGGAAAGGCAGACACAGCCCAAGGTTCATAGGCTCCAATGCCTGAAGGCTCGGTGGGTGTGGGCAAGACTCTGGTCTCCACAGGCTCATTTACAAAGCTGAAGAACCATCTAAACAGCAACTGTGAGGCTGTAGCACTGAGGCCCTCAGCTGATCCTCTAGGGCCATAGAGGCTCCTGTCATTTCAGGAATAACTAGGATGAACTTTGCTCCTAATAGGTGACTAACCTCTAAAGAGAACTAGGAGTCATCTTGTAAAGAGGCAGAATGGAAGGTGGAATGGGATTTTTTTCAAGTACTGAAGGTATAACAGGACTTTCTGAACTGGCTGCTACACATAATTATCCTTTAAAATCACACAAATAGGGGCTAGAGGAAAGCTGTTCATTCACTTATTTATGCATACATGCATGCAACAAATCTAGATGGTCATGTACTTAGCTCTTAGTAAGGTTTTTTGTTTTTGTCTCTGTTTTTTTTTTTTTTTTTCTTTCCATTTTAATCCTCTCTGCTGGAGTCAAAGGATTCAAAGAAAAGTGAGACATGGCCCTTGCACTTAAAGTGTGCAAATTCTATTTTTAGGGAATGCTTTTTTCCTATAGAATCCCTTCTGTATCAACATGGGCAGAGTCCAGTAAGAAAAATCTTTCAAAATTGCCTTTTTCTAATGGCCCAGCATGCCAACTGTTAGTCAGGGATGGATGAGCAGGCATATACCACCAGAGCTAGCTGCTGTCCTGACAACTGCTCTGTTTTGATTCTTCATTTTCGGCCTTTATTTTTGTACTCATGTGCTCAGACTATCTGAGAGGGCACAATTTTTAAAAAGCAAATAAATACATGTCAAAAAATAAAATTTGTCAGCAGGCATTTTAGTTTCCTGCTTTATGAACAGAGGGAGAGAAAGAGAGCAAAGATAGAGGAAATCGATGGTTTCCCACCTGGGCACTCAGGGCCCCCAGGAAGGTCTAGATTGGAAGTAATGGGCAGTTGCTTGCTATTTTCAGGATTTCAAAAGACTTAGTGGAAAGTATCTATTTACCCACAGAGAGGCAACTGGGACTAACTTCAACTTTAAATCCAATTGGCTTTCATGAGAATGGGCTCACCTCAGTGGCCTGACCCTGACATTTCTCCCTGATCTGAAGTTCTGATGGGCATTAAGTGGAAAAACGAACTTATGGTTACTTAAGTGTGGTGATAAACAGAACCTATCACAGTATGTTATCAATGGAGGAAGTAAGACAAAAGGAGATCAATGGTGACAAAAGCCAATAATCAAACCATCTATATCAAGGATAAAATGTTCTAATTTTGAAGTTTTGAAAAAACTCCAAAAATATCCTAAAATCTCAAAAAACTATGTAGTATAGTGTGCTGGCCTGTGACCACTGACTTGGGGTACAATGTGGGAATCACCCATGTTAAATGACAGTCACTTAGAGAAGGACTAGCTGGAAACTGTAGTGCAGATAATTAGGAGCTGGGAGCTGGTTAATACCAATATCATAGTACTCACATCACTTCTAGCCGAGCCATCCTGGAATCATTCCCGCCTTCAGATATAATTTCACAGGTGTAGTCTCCGATGTCTCCTGACCACGTCTGGCTAATGAGGAGAGAACCGTCCTTCTCCACCACAATTCTAGAACTGCTAGATGGGGTGATGACCAAATTGTCCTTCTTCCAAACATAGCTGTAGGCCAAGCAAAGAGTGTTGAGCTACAAAACCTACAGGAATAGGCTCACTGGTCATTCTTGTCTGTTAACAAGTAGGCAACTTGACCAATAGACTTGTAATTACACTAAAAAACCACTAAATTGTGCTCTTTAAAAGGGTGAATTTTATGGACTGTGGGATGTGAATTATTACTAAAAAAATAAACTAATAATAATACTGGTAATACTATAAATATACATGTTGAAATTAAAACAGGACAATGAAGATCACTGGAAATATCTGTTTGGTTTTGTGTTTTAGAGACAGGCAAGGGTAGGATTTGGGTATGTGTGAAGAACCATTCACATTTCTGTCACTAAAACTGCAGCTAACATTTCTGTCCCAGGAATGTTCCTGGAGGACAAGAATGTTGTTTATATAGGAGGTAACAACTGTTTAAAAATCAAGTTGAGTGGAATTACTCAACTCCTATAAACGGATAAAACACATCCTTTAAATATAATCATTCTGGCAGATTTTTCTTAAAACTGCATCTAGGGCCAGCAGGTGGCATGGTGGTTAAGGCACTGGTATCCCACAAGGTCAACTGCAGTTTGAGTCCTGAATCTGGTGGCTTGAAAAAATCATGCTGGGTGCTGTGTGTAAGTGCCCAAAAATTCCAGAAGGATGGAAAAGAAGGGATTGTAGTGTGGCCATTCCCCAAGAGGAGTGATTTCTCACTTTTGCTCTCACTGTCTGTCTGGTGAATACATGTGCCCTATGGCAGAAACTTTAAAATGAACAAATAAACAGATAAAAAAATGCATTTCTGGCACAGCCATAGTAGTATGTACTGGTAGACACTGCTACTCTGCAGGCTAAGGTCACATGTGAGCCCTGGGTTTGATTCCCAGTCTACCCTAAAGGCTGGGTGGACCTGTAGTCCCAGGTACTCAGGAGACTGAAGTAGAATGACTACAACATAACAAAAGCCTAACTTGAAAAAATACATTTCTTTCTAATTTAATCTTTATGGTGATTTTAGCACAGTTTTCCTTCAAATATAGTCAATTAAGAGCTTATCCAGGGCTAGCCCATGCTGTGGTGGTTAAGGTGGCTGGATCTCACATGGTTGACTGTGTGGTTCAAGTCTGGACCTGGTGGCTTGAAAAACATGCTGGGCACATGTGAGTGCATGCCCAAAATCCTGAAAGGAGAAATGAAAGAGAAGCGATTGTGGGTCAATCCCCCATGGGTGGCGCATTCTCACTTTCCTCTTTCCTCTATTTCTCTCTGGCAATCGCATATACCTTTGGCGAATTAAAAAATAAAAAAAGCTTATCTAGTTTTTAGATGTTGGTGGCCATTACTCACTGCTAGATGAGACAGAAATGCTATTTTTCAAAATAATTTTATCAGGTTTTCGTAAGGTACCCAGTCCTTTTTTTTTTTTTGGAGAGCTTTTCGCTATAGGGCGCGTGCGCTTGCCAGACAGACAGAGAGAGACATAGAGACAGAAAGCCGAGAAATCACCCCCCAGGAGAGATGGTCACGTGGTCATGCCGCAATCCCTTCTCCTCCATTCTCCTCTCGGGATCTTGGGCACGCACGCACACACGCCCGGCGTGAGTTTTAAGCCACCGGCTCCGGGATGCGAACCGTGGTCAACTACGTGGGAGTCCAGTGACATAGCCATTACGCTAACTGCTGGTTCCCAAGGTACCCAGTTCTTAAAGCCTTCATATTCATAGAGTATAGACATTTATAGACTACTGATCTGAAATTACCCTAAGACAGAACAAGGAGAAAGTGGATAGATTGCTCTGGAGCCCAGAATTCAGCTTTGATTCACTTGAGACCTGATAGCCTCAGGCAGAGAAACTCTGGGACAAGAGGCACCCCAAGAGTGAACAACCTAGTTCCTGCTCAGGGAGGAGTTTCCAATATAATCATATTTAAGCAGCTACAAGAAAACTTCAAAAATCCAAGGGATTTTTTCTTGAGCTCTCAGAATAACAGAAAACCAGACATTTGTTCTTTAAAATCATACTCCAAATCATTTAGAAATAAATAAGTTCCTTTTCCAGACACAATGACTGTCTCTAATACAGACCCCTAGGATCCTTTAGGTAATCTTTAACTTGCTAGTTTTTGTTGTTCATTTTGTTTTGCATTCAGCATTACTGTAACTAAACAAAACTTGGTTTTTGAGCATTAGGGAACTCTGGAAAGCCAGGTGGAGATATGGGAATTTATGACTTGCCAAACACCTGTCCCAAAAGAGAAGGGAACTGCTTAGTCTCTGAATCCAGTTAATAATGTATGTATCAACAGCCATTCCAACTCTACTCAGCGTGAAGAGGGTTGTAGAAGACAAGAATGCATCCTGGGTCTACCCATTTGGCTACTGCATGCCCTTAGAGTCAAGGCCAGGATGAAAATGTTATGATGACCAGATCTTTCTTTCTTAATTTATTTTCAAGGCTGATTCTGAAAACTGAAACCTATTCTGAAAGTGGCTTCCTCTCTGGACGAAGTTCACCATTGATAGCCAACCACCTGTCTGCTGCCATGCATTTACCTGCAGTGTCGTATTTTTCATCATTACCTTCTGGGTCTGAATTCAAAGACAGGATGTACAATTCCTTTAGGGAATCTAAGGCATCTAGGTCCCTTATTTACATGCATTTTCTGCTAAGTGCTTTAGAGAACTGTGGTTGCTTTTCTTCTATGTGAGGCAGGTCTCCCTCATTCCCCATTTCAAAATGAAACTATCCTTGGAGCAGAGAAAACCCCTCTTGAGTATTATATAGCCCCTGTGTAAACACAGCTGAAATCCTATTCGATCCCTCTGGATTTTTCTCTCATTAAGTATCAGCCTCTGACAAGTACGTTTTACAGATAGTGTATTAACCTTGGCAGAAAAATCATGAAAAGCTGTATTGAAGTCATGAAGTGGAACATTGCTCACTGTAAATAATACATAAGGCTGGAGTGGAAAATGGGATTTGTATGATTAATGATGGAGTCCATGACTGTAAGATGCCGTAATCAGGGATCTGCAGCTGAAATCAAGTTCCCCAAATTCTTCTTTCTCATCTAAACTTCACTTCATAAGCTCACAGAATATGAATAAGATCCAAAGCATTGTAATTGAGCTGACCGGAGAGAAATCCGGGGGTCATGAGTGGCCCCACAGTGCAGCATGGCTGTGGTCCCCTTAATCACCACACGGTCCTCGGGTGGCTGAACGATGGATGTTCGATCTGTAAAAACACAAGCCACAACTCAGATAAAATTATAAGTTTGAGAGTTTCTGCCCTTAGGGGGATAATGAATTGGTCATCTGACATCAAAACCTCCAAGTTTTCTCTTATCTTGGCAAAATGAGTGCAAATGGAAGCACTCAGAAACACTCAGGGAATTGAGAACAAGCCTTTCTACACTGTGGCAAAGTCAAACACCCTGTCCCTCCTAGGTCAAATTTAACCTCAAACACTCCAGAATAAAATGAGAATAGAAGATCATATGCAAATGTTTATTAGGTTCTATACTCTCGGTTAAAATCCAGATTGTTTCCTAAGATAATCACCATTCTAATACTTTCTAATGTTCGCAGAACACTGGGTGACTTTGCAAAGTGCTTTCATTAATATTGTATAATTTACTCCTTGCAGCAATCTTGTGGGGGTTGTAATATCACTATGCCTAGTTTTCAGGAATGAAAATAGATACTCAGAAATACAGTTACTTGCTTACCACCACCGACCTGGAAAGGGGTAGGGACTGGTGCCCAGACCTATAGCGGCCACACTCTAAAGCTACCCTGCAGGCAGCCATGTGATTGTGCCCTCTCACTGCACACATCTCTGAGGTGGATACTACTCTGAAGCCACAGAGTCTAGATCTCAGAAGTCACAAGACTAAGTTCATGGCCCAGCTTGCCTGCTCGCCATCGAGTCATTCAGAAAAGTACCTCTTTGCCTTCATTTTCCTGTCACTAAGAGCTGTGCAGGTTAAAGTAGGTAAAGTATGTGAAAATACCTAGTAGACCGCCATAGTATTACACCAGTCAATCTAGTGTTAGAATTTTGAATCTCATCAGATTCACAAAATCTTCTTGTAAATGATCTATAAAAATTTAGACATCAATTTGACACAAACTTTTAAATGTACAGTTAGTTTTTAAGGACACATGATGAAATCAGAAGTGGCTGATGAAGTCAACCACCAAATAGATTAAAACCTCTTTTTGAATACTTGACAGTATTGTGAAAAATGTAGATTAATTACTTTGAAACTTATGATATTTTTAGAACACTAATAAATTAGAAAGGGTCATTTATCAATGTGGACACCAACTATATTATAGAAGATGCTAAACAAATATGAAATGAAGCACTATAATTCAGCTTTTTTAAAGGATGGCATCATTACATATTATTAATTCAAGCAAGTTAAATTTTTCTCTACTCATATAGATAACAAAATGGAAATCTACTAGTGCTTATTGTCTTTTCCATTTTTAAACAATTTTTAGCAATATAGTTTTGGATGAAGCAGAGGAAAAAGCACACTGGCAACTGAAGGTTAAAAAGCAGGAGGAAAGTAGATATTTGGTACTCTACTCCTTATGTTCCAGAAAACAATTTATTCTGCATTTCAGAAACTCATATTATTGTTAGGATAAGAATAGAAAATGCTGGAGAAACAATAAAGATTTTTCTCTAGTTCACTCCTAATATATGAGACATTGTATTTATTATATGAGAAGGGCTTTAATTGATCATAATGATAGAGTAGAAAATATTTACTTCTGGGACCAGCAGTTAGTGTAATGGTTATATCGCTGAACTCCCATGTAGTCGACCGCGGTTTGAGTTCCGGACCTGATGGCTTAAACTCATGTCAGGTGCGTGTGCATGCATGCCCAAGATCCCGAGAGAGGAATGGAGGAGAAGGAATTGCTGTGTGGCCATCATCCCTTGGGGATGATTTCTCACTTTCTGTCTCTCAGTCTCTCTCTGTCTTTCTGGCAAGTGCACATACCCTATAGCAAAAAACTTTCCAAAAAAAAAAAAAAGAAAGAAAATATTTACTTTATTTAAAATCTTCATTCTGTATTTAATTTTTCTTCTCTATGAAAGAGGATTTTCTTATAAAATGCTTATAAAATTAACCAACACACTAGTTTTATTAGTTGAGCCTGTTTGGATATAGTTCTACTCTACTAACTTAAAAAAGTCAACCTTTTATCTCTCCTGAAACATCCCCATTAAATCTTTGAATACATTTTTTAATTATTCTTTTAGAAACTGAAAAATTAATTACTTGACAGATTTCTATAAATTAGTTGTAAAAATAATCATTCTCTTTTGATTAAATTAGAAAGTCCAAGGGCATATTGACATCCCCCAAGCACAGATGACATGATTAAACTATGATTAATGGAAAGCTGTAGTTCTTACTCCACACAGTCAGTGTTGCAGATGCATTCAGGGATCCCTCTGTGTTGGCTGCAAAGCAGGTATAGTTGCCAGCATCCTGGATGAAGACAGGACTTATCTGTAAACCCCCAGATTCAAGAAGCATGAATCTAGGAATCTGGACAGAGCCACTGGCCAAAATGTGGTTTCCTGAAGAAGGTTAGAGAAAGCAGAAATGTTAGAGCCATCACATAGAAAGAAAAGATGGTAATAGAGTCACAATCAACATAATAACTTAAAGTAATTAGAATAAGGTGAAGACTTTATATATGAGAATAATCAAGGCAGTTTCCTATAGTATTATTTATGATACAAAAAAAAACCAAGAAAATCCTAATTGTCAATTACTGAGAGAGTGGGTTAAACAAATTATGATCTATGTATGTGATTGTTATCTTTGGGTGAATGGTTTTTTTATTGATTTTTAAAAATATTTATGTGCATTTACATTTCTTTTTCTACAAAGCTTTTATTACATTCAAAATTGGGAAAGATGAAGAAAGAAAATACAAAAAATAATAGAAAAAAATCCACCCTCTTTTTTAGATCTGTGGTTTCCCAGATCTTCATGTTATAACCTAGTCTGAGTGCATGAATCGCATCTTTGAGAGCTGAGAAGCCATCATGCGGTCTTCTGCTGGTATGGAAAAAATATCATTTGAAGCTTCACCAGATAAAATCCACCAAACATGACTGGTAAACCTATGTGAGTCAATACAATTCAGCATAGAGTTAAGGATGAACTTTGCGCCACTGTCCATTTAGTGTAGCATGTGCCTAACTTGTAGAAGGAGCTGTGGGAACTACAAATGTAGCCACTCTTAATAAGAACTGAAAATACAATTTGAACTGAGGTACACCTGCTAAACTGGGGAGGACATTTTTAAAAAGGACATAATCTTAACTTTGAATATTTTAAGAAAGAACTTTCTCATTTCACAATGTGAAAAATGAGTCCTAGCAGAATGACTTCAAAACCAAAACAATATTTTAAGGAGCCATGGAACACCGAAGGCACGGCCTAAAGAGCTTTGGTAGAGTATAACATTGCACAATTATTTTCTCTAGTGTTTCCTTTGCTAGAAGGCAAGGATCTTGTCTGTCCTGCTCATCCTTGTACCCCTGGCACCTAGCATCTGGTAGACATTCAGTAAATGGTTATTTAATCTTTACAGAGTTAATGAATAGATGGATGAGAGTGAGGATAAATAAAACACAATCATTTGCCTGATGAGTACATTTTCTAAATTAGCCATGCTGTCTTAGAAAGCAGAAGGCATCTACCTCTCTTCCATGTGATAGCAGGTTTGGGAGCTCCAGACACCTCACACCTTAGAATGGCTGTCATTCCGTCGGTAACTGTGGTGTCCCCTGGACGTTGGGTGAAAGCTGGAGCTATATCTGAGTAGAGAAGTTTAACAAGGAAGTGATCAGTGCATTGCCTTTCCAAGATGCACAAGTAAGGCTGGAGGAGTATTCCATATGGATTTTAGAGAACCAATCACAGAGATAACTATAGCAACAAAATATGAAACCTTTCAAGAGTGACTACAACCCTCCATTACTTGTCTCCTAGGAATTACCTATCTTTGGTTACAATCTAAAGAGAAAATAAAATCTCATGATGTAATGGTTACAAAAGTGGGAAAAAGCAAGGGACCAGGAAGAAAAATTTTAGAAAAATGCTTAAGAGAGACAGACATTTATTTAGATTAATCAAACAATCTGCTTTTGTTCTTTAAATAACAGAAAAATCTGATTTGAATACAAAATGTCATCAAGATGACACTTTCATACTTTCTAGGATCCATTCTGAAAATTAAAATAACCAGGTTTTGATCAGCTACAGTGGCATGGCAGTATCTGCTCTGTAACATCAAAGCCATATGGGGAGATCCTGAATTTGTGTCTTGAGGTCTCCTTGTGCACATCCTGTCTGGTCAAAGTTAGGGATGGATTACAGCATGAAGACCCTGTTGAGGTGCCTCTCTCTCACAGAACAAATTAAAACTTAAAAAATATATTTAACAAGGTTTTAAAGAACATAAATAACATCAATTTCTAAGAAGTACCATGGGGCTCAAGTGTTGGGATTTTTCCTTATTCAAGGGAAACTGTAAGGATCTCCAGCAGCCTTGATTCAGACCCACGAAATATGTAAGTAGATAAGTTTGATTTCAGCAAGTTTGACTACCACTCTGACAACTATTAAAACAATAGTCATTTGGGGGACCAGCAGTTAGTGTAATGGCTATGTCGCTGGACTCCCAAGTAGTCGACCGCGGTTCGCATCCTGGACCTGGTGGCTTAAAACTCACGCCGGGCGCGTGTGCATGCGTGCCCAAGATCCCGAGAGGAGAATAGAGAAGGGATTGTGGCGTGGCCATCCCCCATGGGGGGGGGGTGATTTCTTGCTTTCTGTCTCTCTGTCTCTCTCTCTCTCTCTCTCTGTCTGGTGAGCGCATGCGCCCTATAGCGAAAACCTCTCCATAAATAAATAAATAAATAAATAAATAGTCGCATGGAAGTTAAGGCAGTTGGATCCCACATGGATGACTGCAGATTCATGTCCTGGAGCTAGTGACATTAAAAACTGTCTCTCTCTGGCAAGTGCGTGCTCCCTGTAGCAAAAAAAAACACCTTACTTTCAAAAGGGGGGGGGGCAATCCCTATACAACAGTAATCCACATCTCCCAAATTGTATGTGAGGGCCCCTAGAAGAAATGGGTGGGACTCAAGGAAACTGAAGGACACATGCCTGCTTCTCCCTTCACCTGGCAGGGATCCTAAAAATCAAAGAAAGGCCTAGTGACATCATCTCCAAAGCACCTCCCAAAAATGGTCTTTATTTTCCACCTCAAGTGTGATCACCTGGGTCTCCAAACTTGCCTAGGTGGTACAGGGGCCTAATGGTCTTTTTGCTTCTGCTTTTGCCCCATGCTCCAAACTATACCAGCCTTCAGAATACCTTTGAAAGTTATAAATGACAGTATGGCCCTATCCAGATCAAAGCTCCTAAGGGTCTCCCCTCTCTTTACTCATTGGCCCTCTTGCCTTTGCATATCTTTCCTAGGCATTACCTGCCATAGCAGCTTTGTCCACCATCAGGCTCCAGCCTACCTGCCTTCATTCACCTGAACATACACTAAGTATTCTCTCTCCAAGTCACTTGCACTTCCTTCTACCTCCACCCCTGTGACATGCACACCCCCAAGATTTCACATACTGGCTCCTCTGGGCTCTGCTGTCATCTCAGAGAGACCCTCCCTGACTGCCCATATAACAGATACTCACTTAATCACTGTCAAGTCGCTTGTTCCCTTCCTCCAATACTCAGACTAGCTAAAGCCATCTTGTCCTCTACTGTATTTCTCTTTCCCCCTTGGCCCCTTGTCCTGGAAACAGGGATCCTCGCCTGTCTTCCTTACATTTATGCACAGAGTCTGATCCACAGTGTCCAACACAGATATTTGTTAGGTGAGTAACCATTTATCTTTTACACATAACAATATCCTTTCATTAAAGGTATTTTAGAGCCAGCTGGTAGCATAGTGGTTAAGGCAGATGGATCCCACATGGCCGATCACACTGTTCAAGTCCCATACCTGGCTTGAAAAACATTCCGTGAGTGTGTGTGTGTGTGTGTGTGTGTGTGTGTGCCTAAAAAAGCAGGGAGAGATTGAGGAGAAGGCATTTGCGGGGTGACTATTCCCCATGGAGAACACTGTCTCATTTCCCCTCTCTCTGTCTCTCTCTAGCAAGTGTATGCACTCTCTGGCACAACTTTTTTAAAGGTATTTTAATTTGAAAAAAAAATCATAAACTGCACTTGCAAAACAGATAACAGCATTATCATGATCATACATTTATTTTTGTCAGTCACCAATTGCCATAACTAGTGTAAATAGCATTTTCATTTACATATCTAATCTGAGTCTCACAAAAACTCTGTAAATTGGGCTGGGTTGGTTCTGTTTTAACAGATGAGGCTGTGAGAAATAAAGTGACATACGATAGGTCACCTTATCTTCTAAGTCCTAGATCTCTCACTAGAGCAGGTGTGGTAAACTACCACCCATTTACCAAATCCAGTTCGCTGCCTTTTTCTTTTTCTTTTCCTTTTCTAGAGATATGTATGCTTGCCACAGAGAGAGAGAGAGAGTGAGAAAGAGACAGAGGCATGCACGACCCCCCCCCCTCGATGGGGCATAATCACATCACAATCCTATTTCTTCCATTTCTCTACCCCATCAGTATTTGGGGCATGCACACACACATGCCTGATATGTTTTCAAGTCATCAGCCCAGGATTCAGACCATGACTGGTCGTGTGAAATCCAGCTTCATATGAACAGTGCTTAACTACTGTGCTAGAAGGCCAGCCAGAGCCTATTGCCTATTTTTGTAAAAAACATCTTATTGGAACACAGTTACTCTCATTCCTTATGAATATTCTGTGGCAGTTTTTACACTACTACAGCAGAGTGGAGTAGTTCTGACAGAGGTCATGTCCCTCAAAGCCTAAAACATTTATTATTAGTACTTTATAGAAAATGCTTATTAACACCTTCACCAGAACATTATGGACCATGATAATAAGGTAGGCTTTAAATAATTCTAATTGATCAAAACTCAATTTCTTGCTAAAGTAACCAACATTATTTTTATTGCTTGAAACAGTATTGGTTTCCTATGCTCCAAAATGGAAGACAAATTTGACCCTTGGGCAAGGTTCAAGGAAGTGACCCCTAGTTTTCCAAAATATGCATATGGATCTTTAAATACTGTGTTAGCCTTTTCACAGGCTCTGGCTGATAAAAGCTAGTGGTCATATACACAATGGCATTGATATTTCTCAAATAGTTCTCATACCTGAGATATCAGCATTTTGCTTCCAAAAGGGCAAACATGAAAGGTACAATTCCATAGTCACTAAATTCTACTTCATTTTAGAAGAACAATATTACAGCTATGCTGAATTAAAAATAAAACCCATGGATATAATGAAAACCTTTACTTTTATTTTATTTTTCAAAGACTGAGTGCCCAAGTATTTCTGTTAATGGGATAATAAAAGAAACTTACACAAGAACTATAATTGTTCAATAAAACTAAAATAGAGAATGAATATTAAAAAATAGAAAAAAGATCAAAAGATTAGGATTGAGTCATTTTCTCAATAGTCCAGAAAAATAGCGCATTTCTCCCCCTACTTTTCCTTAAGAAAGAGAAGGGCTCAGTGCTGGAAAAATGAAGAGTACATAAGATTATAGAGGGCACCAGGAAACAACTGTGTGTCTTCACTGCTCCTGGGCTTCAGCAGAGCTTCCCTATGGACTGAATAAATAGGTTAAGGTGTGTCTGAGGTAGGCTTCTTTCAGCCAAACAATTTGGGCCAAATCATCCTGTCCATTTACCGAAAAGCACCGAATAGGTGTTACCATTTATATATGTGTCATGGGAGAATGTTTGGGAAGCTCTGGCCTGAAGTCCTAGCAGGTCTGGCCTTGACGATGGTCAGTACTCACTGGTTACATCCAGGTAGGTATGGGTCTGGATCTCCCCTCCTTCATTACTGGCAAAGCACTGGAATATCCCAGAGTCCTCTGGACACAGTTTCTGAATACGCAGACCTCCGCTTGACAGAACTTTATATCGAGGATTATGGAGCTTATTGATGGAGACAGCATCCTTGTACCAATGAAGGGTGGGAAGAGGGACCCCTGTGTAGAAGTGGAAATAAACAGACATTTAAAAATAATAAATTTCAAAAATTTCTTACATGAAGACTGAGGAAAAAACTGTTTTAAAGGCAAAAATGGCAGTATTTTAATAGGCATGTTTTCTTTTCAGTACTTACCCCATAAGAAGCTATTTTACTCATATAAATAAAAAATGATACAGAGAGGCATTACAGAGGAAGAGGGGAAGCAGACTCTGGATGCTCAGGTTGCAAATCCTTCCACGTTCTACCTTGAATCTGTACCAGTTTGTGTTCTTGTTTGGAAGGAAGTTTCCATCTGTGCTAGACTTCAAGATTCAGACTGAGATTGTAGATCTCCACTGGTCTACAGTGCCTGATTCTGCCAGCACATGAGAGGACTCAGTACAAAGTTAAGAGGGCAGGAGCTAGGATATAGATCAGGTTTTAGGTCTGCCCCTTGCTTACTGTATTACACTGGGAAGAGTACTTTATTTATCTCTGTCTTTATTCCCTCAATATAGGTAAGGAAATAACAATCATGACTTGAAAAGGCTCTGAGGATTACACGTTTGTGCATGTGTGCATGTATGTATATGCACACACACCCCTCATGTGTTGGGTCATCAGAAAAATTATGACATATTTTTCTATTTTTCTACGCAAAACTGCATCATAACTTTTCAGATGACCCAATATGTAGAACTCTTATCCCGAGTACATGGTTAGTGCTCAGTGGACAGAATTTATTAGAGCAACTAACAATGATAAAAATGAATGCCATCTTCTAAACACCCTGTATCGAAGAAGTTGGATTCCACTGATAGTAACAGAATTCTACTGTATTTGTGTAACAATTTATCAGGTTAAGCAAAAAGCATATGAATTGGCTTTGATTACAGTTCAAGGAGACATAAAAGATATTATATCACAGACATAGGAAAAGTTACCTTGATCTCTAAGACATATACAAGTACAGACAGATGAGGATGGGCTGCACGATGGTTCTGTTCTTGTACCTCAAGAGTGGAATGAGCTAAGAATTAGAAGAGTTCAACCAAGAAAACAGAAGATCAGACCAAGGCTTATTGCACAGCACCACCACTCATTGCCACTTCCTTATCTCAATTACAATGAGAATCAAGGCTTGGAATCAAGGAGGCTGGAGTTACACATAGTCTAGCCAGTCCCATCCTGAATGAGGTTGAGGGTTGGCTTTCAGAAGGGCATATGAAGGATAGGAAAAATTGACAGGGGACAGAACCTGGGTTGGAAATGAAAGGGATTGCCTTTAGTCTGAGAGTGTTAGGACTTCTGTTTCTTGTTACTGGTATGATTGTGATCAGTACATTTAACCTGGCATTAATGAATGAATGTTGACATTACCCCTGGAAATGCCTGGGATAAGCCCTGACTGGGGAAATACTAGATTCCTTTTCTTGGTGGTTTGAGGAAGCAGCAATAGTCGGAGGCTACTCCCTTGACACTTTTCCTGGACCCTTTCTGAAGCCAAGAAAGGTCAAGTCCAGCCAAAAAGGGTGAATTGGCTAGAACAGAAAAATTGCTTCTAGAACTAAGCCAAAGTATGCAAGATAACAAAGCCTATAAGTATAATAGGCATGAATTTAGTGGGCCCGTGGTAAGTGAAGAAATATCTAAACTTGATTCTAAATCTCAGAAGGTTCTGTACCTCAGTTTCTCTCAAAATAACATAGATTCAAATGAAAAAAAAATACATCTTGACATGATTCAGTGGAAAGCACACCAAAATCTCTCTATTTAAGATGCTATGTATATAGGTGCAAGATGTCTACTTTAATAAATAAAGATAATGTCCCAGAATATTTCAAGATAATGTATTCTCTGATTCTCTTCGCCTTAATTATGTTTCCTGTCAGTTTTCATTAAATCAGGAAATTTTAAAAAATTCATTTCAAGGTAAAAGCAAAACCAATTCATGTAAAATCTCATAGTGGCAATTATATGATGTAGCTTTCATAAAGAATAACCACTTCATATGCTACTATAGTTGCATTGTCAAAATGAAGAGAAAGCAGTAAATTATATGATGGCAATATAATGCTGAAAGACCTATTCAATATATATTTGTAAGTCTTTACTTAACAAGCAGTTTATTCTATGGAAACATGCACAAAAGAACATTCTCTTGTCAAAGAGAGAGTTTATGATCGTCATTTAAAAAAATTGTTAGTACATAGGGAACTAGAAGTATTTATATTTTGGGGCAATCTAAGGTCATAAACAGATATTATACCCCTGCAATATTGTATACTCTCATTTATAAAAAATAAAAACTCTAAATATCTTATAGCTTCACATTCACTAAGTTGTTGGTCTTAAAAATCTAGCATTTATACAAGAAAGAGAATAATGCAATCACAGTAATAATAACATTTTCATTTAACACTCATATCACTCTTCTCTCACCCCTTTCGCATGCTCCCTTGTAGCTATACTAGTAGAGGTAGAACACAGAAAAATACAAATAGAACGAATCTGTGAATACTAACCATTGTGAATTAACCAGGAGCAAAGAACCATAACTACCAATGAAGCAAGTCCATTGGGCAGGAGGAGCTGTTATACAAAGTACAATGACAGAGAGAAAAAGACTTCAAAATACCACGTATTTTTTTTCAGATATTAAAAATGACATCCACAGAGTTGAACCTACACATAAAATAGTATTTGTTCTAACTTCCAGCTCCTCAACTCTCAGAGAGAAGCAGCATGTCCTGGAAAAAGCACACACTTTGGGAGTTGATGGATTTGAGTTTGGATCCTGTTTCCATTACCGTGTGACCCTAGGTATGTTTCTTACCCAGTATTTAATAAATAGTTCCTACATGCTGGACACTGTGTTGTGATTTTTACAAATATCTCATTTCATCTTTATTGCTCTGTGCCTGAGCAAATTAGTTAACCTTGCTTTCTAAGGCTTCGTTTTCGTATGTGTACAGTGCGATAGTATCTCTCTTAGGGAGCTGCTTCAAAGATTTACAAAATTGGTAGTAATTCTTACATTCTAAGCTCTTAGGGAATTAAGAAAATATACACTCTTAAAATAGATAGGTATAACCCAAAAAGGAAAGATCTTTATTTCTTGACAGTTACCAGAATACAAACATGAGTTTGTTAATGAAATTACCTTGAAAAGCCTCTCTGTTTTAGGGGGCTTTTATGTAATTACCTGTGCTGCCTGACATGAAATGATGACAGCGGGCAGCTGCTAATCAAAGCCTAGGGGGACGAAGGGTGAAGTTACGGAATAGTAATGCAAGAGGTGACCCAAAGCTGAAAAGGAAGAAAAGCAAGACAATTTCCTATTCAGAAAATTTAAAACAATCTGCCTTCCTACAGGGCAGATGTGCTCACTAGTCCCAATCACCTCATGAATGTGAATGAATCTCTGCCCCAAGTCTGGGGGGCATTCCAGGGCATGGAATCAGTCTCTGAAGGGAATCAACAGGACACAGTTGTGCCCTCTCTCTGGGATGAACAGGATAAGACTTTCTATTTTCTTCCTTTGAGTAAATATTATCCCTGTTTTACAGATGAGAAAGCAAAAGTTCAGTAATGTCAAAAATTCCTGTTCAAGGTCACATATCCAGTACCTGAGTTCTACTTCATTCCAGAGTCTGTTCTTAACCATTATACTCAATGTCTTCCTAGGACGATGAAAAGTCTAACCTGGAAAAATGTAATTTTCTTTTTTTTTCTCTCTCTCCCTCTCTCTTTTTATTTGCTACAGGACATGTGTTCACTGGAGAGATATGTGTGTGTGTGTGTGGGGGGGTGGTGGGGGTTGGTAGTGAGAAATTATCCCCAGGCTGCCCACACTACAATCCCTTCTCCTCCATTCTTTTCGCAGGATTTGGGGCATGCATGCACACATGCCCAACACATTTTGCAAACCTCAGGGTTTGGGACTTGAACTATGCAACTGGCCATGTGGGATCCAGCCACCTTAACCTCCCCACCACCTGCTAGCCCAGAAAAATGTCATTTTCATTCCTCCATACCACAGTTTCTTGTCCAACAGACTCTTCACACTCACCCATGGCTCGACAAACGATGTCCACGGTTTCTTCCACTTCAACTAAAATCCGATTCTCAGGTTCAGCA